CGCGGTGTTGTTTTTCAGAGCTCAAGGTCAGCATCGTCCTCCTGGTACAACAAACGCTAACAGCTCCTCTCCTCCTTTTTTTTTTCCTCTCTCTTTCTGTTCTGCTTTGTTTGCTCGATGTTCTTCTGTGTCGATCTATTTCGTGGTTGAAGTTAAAAAAAGCACTATTTCCTACAGAGTAGTTTTTAGTTGGGCCGGTGATTGCGTTGTCCTCTATCGGAGTGGGTACGGTGACTCCGATCCCAAATCGTACGTCTTGGTCGGTCCGACTCGTCGAAGTCGACGCGGACGCGGCCGGCGGCGGCGGCCAGCCGGGGAACGGAGAAACCGTACGCGGGCAATGCAAACCGCTAGCTGCTGGGGCCGACGCGGCTGTGGGGGCGCGCACACTGTTTGCACGGCGGGTAACTTCGCGGACGCTGCAAACACGGACACTCTGTAGCTGCTGTGTCCATATACTGCAAGTATCGGCGTATCGCCTGGCAAGGTTTAAGGTTGGTTGGCAAGGCAGCGCCGCCGCAGGTCATAAACGTTTCGTCTCGCGATAGCATCTGCAGCACGTCATAAATTCCAACGGATTTTGGAAGGAATTAAAAAATCCCTACATTCAGATTTCAGAATCGGAAAGGGAAAAGGGCCTCGTGCTGCTAGTAAAATCTTCTTAGGTGGGTCCGGCCCGTTGTTGCCTCGCTGGCTTCTGGGCGCTTAACGGGGCCCGGACGTACGGCGCCTGAGGAGACCAATAAAGTCCAGGCAGGCAGTACGCTGATCTCGGCAAGAGAGAAGGGAGGGGAGCACGACAGCAGCAGTAGACTGTTGCTACTCACATCTGCGACTGCGCCTCGTGCGCCGAGCTGCTCTGGCTGCTGCTTCGTTTGGAGTCTTCCCCATACGCGCCTGTCCAGCATGGGGCTGGGGCTGGGCCAGTAGCACTGTAGCAGTAGGGCGTCCGTGGACAGGCAGGCGAGAGGCGAGGGCAATGGCGGCCGGGCCGGCCTGCCCGCGCTCTACGCCGTATTTACCTGCCGGTGCCGCTCTGCATCGTATGCATGCAGCCACGACAACAACAGTTGTGGCATGCATCCGCCCATTGCCTGCATAGTGCCTTTACTGTTCGGGAACAACAGCATGTGTGAAGTGAAGCTGATACACTGGCATGTCATGGCGTTGCTTGCTCGCTCCGCTTCCATTTGTTTACGCTGCTGCTTCCCTCGACCTCGGTCGATCTGCCGCCCGCCGTGCCTGCCTCGTTTACGTCTAGCGCCGGTGGAACTGCACGCAAGCTCTAGTGCTCTACTGCTCTATCTGGTCCTCCCCTAGCTAGCAGACTAGCCGCATCTGCGGTGTTGTGTTGCCTCCTGGACGGGACAAGGCTTCCTTTGCCGGCGTGTGGTGTGATGCAGGGAGGGACGGAGGCCTTGTCCACGCAAGGCACAGGTACGGTTCGTCGTTTGTTCGTGCGCGGTCACCGGCCTGGCCTGGCCTGGTGCTATGTGTTACTGTTTGTGCTCTAGCGACTCAACACGACAGTGATAGCGCGCATATACAGTGTCGTTGTCGTTGTACTTTATACAGTATTTATTTATGGACATGATGTCAGCACTCAGCTGGGCAATGCAAGTTTGGTTTGCATTTTACCGTGTTACACGCTGACATGGAAAATGGTGTACCACATGCAGGCCCTGCATGTATTATTTTACCATATACAGATGGTGTACCACATCCGGTATACTCCCTCTGTCCCAAATTAAGTGTCGTCGTTGGTTTTCGTGTTAAAAGTTTGACTTGATTTATAAAAAATACGTGCAATATCTGTATTTCTAAATAAATTTCTTAAAATCTAGATTCAAATATCTATCTAATGATATTAATTATGTATTATAAATATTAATATTTTTTATACACATTCAGTCAAAGTTGTTTCTCGAGAAGCGAAATACAAATGGCTAGTTTTTGTGTAGATTGCATGGTTCGAGCGTGTTTGACAATGGATCCAATCCGTGCGTGCACATATTCAACGTGCGGACGCGTTTGTAATTCTACCAGCTGCAGATATAGATAGATATACATATTAATTGTTTATTCCTATCTTGATTTCACTTCTCGAAGATATATATGAAACTTTAACCACCTCTTGCAACAGTTGCAGGTTGTAGTAGATAGCAGACGATCTACAGCAGTGACTAGCTAGCTAGCTAAGGGCAACTGAAGATGCTGGCATGCATTGCGTGCTCGTCGAAGGAAGGCGGAGAGGACGGCTCCCGTGCCGCGGCCACGACGCCTCGTCACGGCAAAGAAGCCGTCAAGTCTCTCACCTCACAGGTACCACATCCATCTCTATCTCATCTGAGATCCCTACGTACATTTTTTTATTGAGCGGATATCTCCCTCTACATGCATGCTTCTGTCACTGCTGCGCTGTACGTATTATTACTCTTTTGAAAGGCTCACTCGCTAGCTATACTAGTAGTAGTACTGTGTATCAGAGAGAGAAGAGAGAGAGAGACAGCATGCACAGCAGCCTCTATCTGACTGACACGCGAGCTATACGCACACCACTGCTTGCGCTGCGCACGACACTGTGCTAACAACATGCCGCTAGGATCGATAGGAATTGCATGCCCAAGCAAAGGGCCAAAGGCCAGTAGTGGACGCCTGCGGGCTGCGGCGCCGGGCCGTGTCGCAACCCGCAACCGAATTGAATTCCTAGCCTAACCGCACCGTGCAGCCGTGCAGGAGGAAGACGCCAATTACATCCAAAAAAGGGCCCCGGTGCATGGTTGACGAGGGCGCATGGGACAAACAACGCATCGGCATCGGCGCATCGCCAACTCCTCCCTGCTGGCTGTCTCTGCGCGCATCGATCCTACGAGTACTTGGCTATCGCCCGCGCGCTGCTGAGTCACAGGAGTAGTTCCGCCGCCCCTCGCAGAGGCAGAGCCTTCAATTGGACGCCTACACATCACCGGTCGTCACGCCTAGCTCACTCGCTCGCTCGTCGTCTTCGAAGGTCATTTGCTTTGTCCATGTCGTCGTCCCTAGCTCCTGGAGCCAAACCACAAAACGAACTCTCTGCATGCATGCCTTTCCGTCCGTCGGTTCGTGTGAGCGACGGGCGTCCAGCAAGCTGTAGCTTTTCCTTTTTTTCCCCTATATACGTACGTACGTCGTATTTACCAAGCTGCTACACTCAAAGCCATGTATGGCCTGGCCCCTGATGAAAGCATGCGGCTGGCCACAGTCCACAGAGACGACTTGCTTTGAACAGAGTAGCTACTAGCTACAACAACGGCAGTTTTGTCAAGCTTTATTTGCTGCAGTGATAAGACTTCTGCTAAACCATGCACGCTCAGAAGCGCAGCGTGAATGACAGCGATCAATCTATCCCCTTTTATCAGTCGTCTAAGCTTGCAGGACATGCATGCATGCTCACGGCGTTAGTTTTCCTCGCCTCATCGGCGGTAAATAAAAGCCGGTCAAGGGAGGATGAGTGGATGCCTGTGTGGTGGGGGATACCTATTGAGAAGAAGCGTGCAGCCGGGGCCCTTTTCTTGCCCATCCCCTCGGTGCGCGCCTTTGCAGTTTGCCAACGCTTTGCCGCCTGTGCCGGATTTGAGCGTTTGCTCCCAAACATTCCCCTACCTACGCTACCTTTATTCACTCGCCACACCACTGATCACTCATTCTCTTTGCCCGAAAGGAAAAGGCCAGGCTATGCTCCATGCTATATGCTGCGCCGCTTCAGCCACTACAGGATCACGCCATGGCTGCCTCTTTTCCTCGTGGAAAGGCATGCCGCGGCTGCAGTGTATGTAACCTGGGACGTACTGGGATTTGCTTGTTGCTGTCGTTTCTTGAGCTCTCGGCAATCGGCATTCGCCATCGAATAAAGGACGGAGCCGCGGGCCACGGCGGCCGCGCGCGCGTGGTCCACGGCCTCTCGGCCTGCTAGGAATAGGATGCAGCCCCCCACACCCAGGGCCCAGCCTGGGCCTCCCCTTGCCGGCCGGCCGGCCGCGCCCTGGTCACGCACGCACGCAGACACGGAGCGCGGATCATGCCGCGACGTCGACGTGCCGACGTGCCTTGCCGCTGCCACCCAGGCATCTGCAGCTGTAGTCTTTCCGTGCGCGCACACGCAACGCATAACACATGCACGCGTTGCACCCACACTCGGACCGCAGGAGGGGCCAGCCGGCCAGGGCCATATGCTGCTCCGTGCCCTGCCGTTATGAGCCGCAATCCTTGCATGCATGCATGCATATGACACTGTGATACAGCATGGCAAGGTTCCTTGTTGCAGACAAAAGGGTAAAGATTTGCCCCGGACCCCTGTGTGTCCCTCCCTAGAATGAATCAGATAGATAGAGTGGTCCTCTGTCTGACTGTCTCTGCGAGAGTTGCAGTTCTTCAGCCTGCTTTCTTTCTTTTTCTTCTTCTTCTATCTGTAATCTGTAGCCGTGTTCAGCCTGCTAATCGATGTAGCTGCTTTGATTTAAGCGTGTGCGTTACGGGTATGCTTTGTTGAGCACTCCATCATTAGCTAGGTGATAGTCATGTTTTGGATCCTTCATTAAACAGTCAACACATGCATGGATCCTTCTTGATCCTTCAATATATGTTACTATTGATTGATAATATGATATTCGTTTTTAGACACATTAGGATTTGAAAAAAATCTTTACAGATGCACTTGGACCACCACTTTCTTTTTACATATACTATATTGTAAAATCAATATCGTGTTAAAAGGTTTTACGCACTAATTGTCCATATAATTGGACTGATTATATATTTATATATTGATCAGTGTTTGTCGAATTTAACCTTTTATAGAAATCCTAAATAGCATGCATACTAAAACCGAACAGGGGCAGTACTTGATAGCTACTTATATGCTAGTTCGAGTCACCGCTTACGTGCGTTACACTTGTTCATTCACTCTGGCCTATGACAACGACTCTTCGAGTGGTGGTGGCTAACTAGGCACTCACGATGCAATGTGCTGTCTTCAGCTCAAGGACATGGTGCTCAAGTTCTCCGGCTCCAGCAAGCAGTGCAAGGGGACGGCGGCCGGGACCCAGTCTTTCAGGAGCGGCGGGGGCAGCAGGTACCGCCGCCCCTACCCCAGCTTCATCGACGACACCGGCTTCGCGCCGGCGAGCAAGGTTCTCGGCGACGACTACTACCCGGGGACCGCATTGGCTGGGGCAGGCGCCGCCGCCGGTGGTGGGGCGCGAACCGCGCCGTCGGATACGTTGGACATGACCAGGAGCAACCGCAAGAGCCCCGGGAGTAGCGGCTGGATTCCGAGCGAGGAGGCGGCGGACGATGTCATCGCTGTGGAGGACGCCGCCGTGCCCAGGGAGTGGACGTCGCAGGTGGAGCCTGGCGTCCAGATCACCTTCGGCACCATCCCGAGCGGCGGCAACGACCTCAAGCGCATCCGCTTCAGGTGTGTCGTCGTTACAAGGCCACTGTTTTCGTGTGACCATGCATGTATGTTGTTGAGATCATTGATTCTTGCAACTAACTCCTGAGTGTCCTTGAACATGCGTATACTGCGTCGTCGTCGTCGTCGTAGTCGGGAGATGTTCAACAAGTGGGAGGCACAGCGCTGGTGGGGCGAGAACTACGACCGCATCGTGGAGCTGTACAACGTGGTGACGTTCAGCGGCCGGCTGCAAGGGAGCTCCACTCCGGTGTCCTCCGTCGACGACTCCGTGCTGGTCGGTGTCGCTACAGTACACTGCATGCATCCATTGTTTTGATCCGCTTTAACTAACTTGACCAAGTGTTGGATTGCATGCACGCACGCACGCAGAGGGACTCGTCTTACTCCCGTGGAGGCTCGACGAGCAGGGGCGGCAGCCCGATCACAGTGCCGCCGCAGCCGCCACTACCGCTACCGCCGGTGGCAAGCAAAGAACCGTTCGCTCGGAGCGCGTCGTTTAAGGCAACGGCAGCAGGGTCCTCGTCAGCACCGTACGCGGCCGCGCATTCCACCAGGGAGGCATACTTCGCGTCCGCGGCCGTGCCCGACCCGTCCGACCACGTCTGGGCGCACCACTTCAACATGCTCAACTCCGCGGCGGCGGCGGCGGCCGGCACGTCCGCGATGGGCGGCGGCGGGGGCCCGTCGTCCTACGACCCGTCGCGCGCCACCACGTCGTCCCGAGACGAGGCGGCTTCCGTGTCCCTCAGCAACGTGAGCGACCTGGAAGCCACGGACTGGATCGAGGAGGACGAACCGGGCGTGTGCCTCACCATCCGCGAGCTCGGCGACGGCACACGCGAGCTCCGCCGCATCCGGTTCAGGTATGTATGGCACTGATCAGTCATGGACATGCGGACAGAATCATACATCACTGACTCATCGATAACTAAAATCGTTCTTGATCACACTGTTCATGCCATGCCTGTTCCATGTTTCTGTTGTGTTGCAGCCGGGAGAGGTTCGGCGAGGAGAGGGCAAAGGTGTGGTGGGAGCAGAACAGGGAGAGGATACAAGCTGAATATCTGTAGCAAGCGATCAGACAAGAGCTGATGCAATTTTCAGGCCTGACGGGATAATCAGATATGTTTGGGGGGATAGATTAGGGAGATGATACCGCTATACATGGTGAAAAGAATGTGAAGGGTGAAACTGTGAAAGTGAAAGAAATGGGAGATGGTACCTGTCTTTAGTTACCTAGACTAAACTAATAATAAGGTTGTACATTGTTGGCACCGTGTCTGGTTTAAAGTTACTTTGTAATGTACATCTTGGTTCCTTCGTCGGTTTAATTTGTTTTTTTTAACTCTGTTCATTTCTTTCGGATTTTGGTAAGCGTAGTACGGATTTTAATTTGTTGTGGGTGAAAATAGAATAATGCTGGCAAATTGGGGTGGAGACGTGGAATCTGTAGTGCATGAATGGTCATGTCTACTCCATCCGTCGCAAAATAAGTGTCACTATGATATTCGTGTCAATCATTTTTTTAACTTTGACTAGATTTATATAAAATATTAGCAGTATTTGCATCTCCAAATAAGTATTATGAAAGTAATCAATGATTTATCTAATGAGATACTAATTAGATAATATAAATATAAATATTTTCTTGTATATATATATTTGATTAAAATTAAAAGTATTTGACTTTTCGGGAAACGAGAACGATACTTTGAGACGGAGGGAGTACACTCTTGAGCATGGCCGGGATAAGTTGAAGTGGAACATGTCCAGATTCGAGACATGGAGTCACCCTAGTCACTGAAACCCGTATATGAGCATGGCAACCCGGGATAAGTTGAATTTGGAAGTCTATGTCCTAGTTTCTATTCAAAAAAGAGATGCAGACAATGGAGTGGCACCCTAGTCCTGGCTCGTTTGGTTTGGGGTAATTATAAGAGTTGGCAGATAGGAGGTTTAGACATCTTTTGTGTGTTTTGCCCTGGAGGAGTTGGGGGGGGACTCAACTCCCACTAATCAGTTCCCTAGGAGCCTAGGGGAGGGGTGGGAATTGGGTTCTTAATAAAAGAAAAATACATCCTCAATGTCCATTATGATTTGCCTTTTATTTTTCCCCTCAAAACCCCCACACCAAAACAGGAGATATGAATTCCCTCTTCAATTTCCGTTCTTATTTCCCTCCATGAACCAAACAAGGGATTGGGGCTAAAATTAAATTTCCCACCTTAATTTTCTCTATCAACTCCCGCCACTGATTCCCATGTTTTTTCCCGCCTAATTGCCAAACACACCCGCAGGGATATATAACACAAGGACAATCTGTTTGCAGGCTGTTGAATAATTGGTTACTTTTTCCATCAAAAAAATAATTGATTACTTTCATTTGCATATATGACACTTAGCTTGAGTAGTTGAGTGCTCGTGTTGTGAGCCTGTGATGTTGGCATGTGTAAGAGCATCTATAAGAGTCTTTTTTAAATTTACTCACTGAATTATCATTTGGAAAGTTATTTGAGTAAAAATCAGTTTCTATAACTTTGTACTCTCCAACAGCTTTTATATGTCTTGTGTACATTCTAGAGAGTCATCATCGCTCTTCATCTTTGACTAGCGAGAAATTCAGAATAGAGGATATCTATGTTTATAGATCCAATTAAATAGGATGTTTTTTCATCGAAATCTTTATTCTTGTAGACTAGTTGAAAGGATATAAAGAGCCCCACTCTAAATTGTCCTAGCTTAAGTACTTAGTCCGTTCGTTTCTGTTAAATTTTCACCCGTATTTATCCTGATTCTGTTTTCATAGCCGGCTGTCTGATCCCAATCTCATTTCCAGTGAATAATGTAGAAATGGAAATAGAAAGGGTATTTTTACCATTGTGTGTTCGTCGGTTCGTCCAGCGAAGACAATGCTACAAGTCACGCTAGGCCGCTGGCCCACTGCACATACGGCCCAAAATAGTCTTGCAAAGTCAGCGGTCACCAAAGCCCAAGAAAACGACAGGTCCACAGCCGCTGCGCCCAATTGCAACCAGAGACCCTCCCCGCGCCGGCGTCCGGCGATCGCCGGCATCGGAGCGATGGATCACCCATCCACGTGATGGATCCGCCAGCGCCTTCTCCGAGGCCCCCTGCGGGCGATGGGGCACAGCCATCGGAGCGGAACCGGCAGCGACCAAGGTCTGCACTCCGTGGCGCCCTCGGGGTGGCCTTCCCCATCGCGGTATCGTTCCTGTTCTCCTTCCTCGTCGGGCTCGCTGGGCTCGCGCTTGGTGGTCTCTCGTCCACTGCATCAGTCTCCATGCCCTCCACCTGCCGCATCCTCTCCACAGGTCAGTCGCTACTCCCTGCCCGATTTATTTCCGTAACTGTGCTTGTAGATCTTAGTGTTTGGTTAAGGTTAGTGAAATTAATACCGCAGATTAGCTGTTATGTGATATGTTCCAAGAGCTTACTGCAAATTTAAGCTTAATCGTCATTTTGATGTACATATTTTTTAACATTCGTCCGGTTTTACACAGTTCAGATGGTGTGAGCTTGCTATGTTAGCTAGTAAATTGAGGCTTTGCTATTACGAAAGATGCTTCGTTCCTGCCACTAAAAAATTCATACGGATCCTGGTGTCATGACGCCAAATTTTTTTTTCCTCCACGTCATTCCGTTTGTCTTGTGTTAGTGTTCCACCGTTTGAGTACGGACCCGACCAGTGATAATGTCTAAAATACCCTTCTCTCCTAACCCTGTCCAGAATACTCTTCTCTCGTACGCGGAGGTGAGCTCCACGGCGGAGGAGCAGAACCCGCAGCCAGCCGTAGAGCAGTTCCTCACCCTCCACGCCGCGCTTTCGCGCGCCACGGTGATCACCGACACCCTCACCAAGTCTGCCACATCTGCAGCCTCGCCAGATTGCTCGGCAGCCAGCGACGCTAGAACGGTGGGATCCACTACCGACGAGGAGGCGGCTGCCATCACAGCCTAGCGCCGACACTGAGCTACGTCCTGGATGAGCGCCGCTCTCGCTACGGACCTGTCCGCCTTCGGCATCTACAACCTCAAACCGGCCCCCGCCACCGTCTCCTCACCGCTGGCCGTGGTCGTCGTCGACGAGTCCGCGAAGCCGGCGGCGGCCGCGGCCACGGCAACGAAATCATTGCCGTCCCCCAAGTCGCGGCTGTCCCCCGTGAAGGGGAAAGCGAGGATGGGCACTGCGGCGGCCGCAGCGGCGCTGACGCCGCCGCCCGCGCCGCCGGAGTGGGAGAGGGGAGGAGGCGCCGGGGAGAGGGGCGAGCTGGCGAAGCGGCTCGGAGAGGAGTCAAGGGGCTGGTTCCTCGGCTTCTTGGAGCGGTTCCTGGACGCCGACGTGGCGGCGTCGGCGCCGTGGGACCGCGAGCGCGCGGCCAGGATGCTCCCGCAGCTAAAGCGCGTCAACAACTGGCTCGGCGAGATCGGGAAGCGAAGCGAGACTCCGTCGCTGCTGCCGGCAGACGCCGACAGTGAGGCGACCGCTGCGAGCACCGCTCCTGTCCCCGCGAACGGCGGCTGCGGCGTACCTGAGGAGACGATAGAGCGGCCCCTGTCTCCGCTGCTGCCCGTCGCCGTCCCTGCCTCCCTCGTCGGAGCTGAGACCGCCGCTGCCGGCACCAAGGCCGTCGCTGTCGCCCCGCTACTCCGCCTCTTCCCTCTGCTTCTTCTTCCTCTCCGCCTTGCTCCACCGCTCCAAGCGCCGCCGCCCCGTGCCGTTGAGCCTGACCTTCCCCGCGCTCCCTCTCTGCTTTCCCTTCAGCCCTCTGCTTTGCATCGCGCCACCACCGCGCTGGGAGCTGAGCGCCGTCGATGCCGGCCGCCCAGGACGGCCGCCGATGCGGCTGCGCCTTCCCTCGCCGGTGCCGCTGTCGTGCTGCCCTCTGCTCTCTGTGGCCCCATCGCTGCTCTCTCCCTCTGTCCCGTTTCCTCCTTCTCCCTTTCTCTCTTTCTCTCTCGCTCTCCTCCTTTCCTCTCTCTGTTGACCGCGCTGTGGGGAGATGAGGACTGAAGCCATGGCATCCAAAGTGAAGGTATTTGAGACTTTTTTCAACGCAGATTGACATCGTTAGATGGAAAAGTGGACGAAATGGCTTGGGAGAAAAAAAAAAAAAAAAAAAAGTAAAGTGTCATGACACATAGGTGTATTCAAACTTTTTAGTGGCACGTAGGCCGTGGCCATCTTTTATAATGACACACAGCTAAAAGGCTCTAGTGCTCTTCTATTAGATACTGAAGGTTCCATTGGACCACATCTAGTATGCTTATAATGCAATTGCCTAGCCTTTCAATTGCTTGTTGAAATTGGACTGCTACATACTCCCTCCATTCTAAATTATAAGACGTTTTGGCTTTTTTAGATACATTGCTTTTAGTACGTATCTAGACATAGTGTATATCTATGTGCATAGCAAAAGCTACGCATCTAGAAGAGCTAAAACATCTTATAATTTGGGATGATTGAGTATATACCATTTGTGCTTGATGTGTTTGCTGGTACATTGTAGGCGTTGACCTTAGGTCATCAAAAGTTTGTGAGCTTGGATTATTGAACTATAGAGCTAAGCATGTCTTCTACCCGTCGAGTAAGAGAAGATTCCGCTGCCATGATGACTACTACTGGGCTTCAGTTTTACAGGTTACAATTTGTGTTGTCATGCACTTCCATGCTTACATCTCTAGGAGAACTTCTAAAAATGTTGTTAAAGCTGATGATTGGCTACAATTCCATTGTTAATTGGGGTTAGTTATGGTGCGATTCTGACACTCATTCCTCTAGATTTAGTCCGTACAATACTCTGTTTTGGTTTACAAGGTTTAGAAGTTATGCATAGTTTCTAGTTTGTTTAAATAGGTTCGCAGATATTCAAAGAAAGGCAAAAACTTTACATGTTGTGCACCAGCTTTCAGTTTTGCGCATCCTGTTAACCACACACACTTATTTTATTGTGTTTTTAATATTCACGAAGACTTGCGGTATGTGTTTATTTGACTCGTTATCATTTGTGTGGCGAATTGGACTGTAGGGTTGAATACACAGAATATTTTTCTGGCCAAGTATCTTATGCCGTGGCAGAGGCCCCGAAAGAGGCTCTTCCCCATAATTGTCGACCTGATTTTGGTGCTGCATGGTCAACAACATTAAAGTTCAAGGTATTTTACTACGAGTTATCTAGTTCCATGTAAGTAGTATTTACTTTCTTTGTCCTAACACACTATAAAAGTGCTCTAAGGGTTTCTCCTGTTTTCATGCGAATCTTCTGTTATAACACCACATTTTGCTTGACTGATGTTTAGTTGTCAGCTGGCAGTTCAATTTCCGCATTTCCATTTCATGACCTCCTTTATTTGTAGGTAAATGAATCATACAGCTGCAGATATATGCTAGGTAGTAACAAGGCTGACATTCACTCGGACAAGCTATTCAATTGTACTGTTGAGGAGCCTTCGACTACGGAGCTGCTCAAAAGGATTCTTATACTGTGAGTATTATGCTCTCTCAAAATCCCCTTAATGTCAGCCACTTGGGTACTGCAACATATGATAATATTGAGCTAATTCAAAGATCAGTCTATCAAGCTTAGATGGCTAGAATTGTATAATCTGTTTGCTAGTTTATTGCTGTAGTCTCTTCCAGATTAATTTTCTAATTTATTACTTTATCAGATGGACAAAAGTCAAGGATGCTTACATGCACTTTCACTACATATATTTTAAGGGACACTACCTCCAGTAGATAATTTGTGACGTTCGGACATCCCTTTTTTGGCCTATGGGCTAGTACAGTTCTCCAATCAGGAACGTCACGACCAGAGGGAGTGCTAGCAGCTTATTTATATCCTTTCTAGGCCTATCTAATTACTGCCACATCTGTACTTTTCGGAAACGGTTCCTTGTTCTCGTTTAGCTGGATACCGCTTTTTTTCCCATTCCACCCTTTTTTTTTTGGGGGGGCTGACTTTGAAGGGCGGGCCTGATGCAAGCTGTAGAGTCTTACTGTCTGTGACCGGAAGGTCCCGGGTTCGAGTCGCGGTCTCCTCGCATTGCACAGGCGAGGGTAAAGCTTGCCACTGACACCCTTCCCCAGACCCCGCACAGAGCGGGAGCTCTCTGCACTGGGTACGCCCTTTTGGCTGACTTTACATTGAAATGTTACGGGTTTTCAGAGATTTATGTGTCAGAAGATTTCAGTTCAGAACGAATGCTTGGTTATGTAGCAGCAGGTGTTGTGCTCGGCATGCTGAGTTCCATGTTCATTACAGTCTTATTTAGAGGTTTGTATGGATTGTTGCTTGCTTCCGCCAGGTGGGCGGTGAGGAAGCATAGCATCAGAGTATTTGCCAGTCGGTTGAAGCGTGCCTGCCTTCTTGTTGCCTATGTATCTGCTGTTGGCTGGATCACCTTGCAGTATAGCAAATTTATCGGATTGAAAGAACTTTTGTCGGATTCTGAACTCATGGAGAGGTTCTTTTAAACTGTAGATGTATTCACCGGTGTATATTGTACTTGTAATACCATTCGATTATTTAGGAAGAGTGCAGATTTGGTGCCCAGGGAACAGAGGTGTTGCAATGTATTTTAGCTAACGAGGGCGCCATATGATGTTCCATTTAGGAAGTTTTTTTCTTCTTTTGATCTGAAATCAATCCTCTGTTGTACGAGTATCTACATGCCAGCAACACTTGCCACAGACGTGCTTTTCATGCCACATTTTATCAAGGACAGCTTAGCTGACGACCTGACCTCACAGATGATGCATCTTTTTCCTTGGAAAATGGAAGGAACTGTATGATGCAAACTGCTGAGAATGATTCCACTTGATCACCAATTTCATATAGACCGCTTGAGCTTTTGCCCTTTTCTGATCTGGCGGCCTTCCAAATTTGCTGCAACTGCACGTGCTGCACTTGCATCTTTTGTTCCAAACAACGTGTTTCATGGATCTGTTCATCAAGCAAAGCTAGATAAACATCGCAGTTAATCTGGCATTCAGCTGTTGTAACTGTAACCACTAACCAGCACTTTACTTCTATGTTCATTATAAATTTGAGCACGCACCGTGATTATGCATGATTTCTATTCTAGTGAGGTGGAACGAACTGCACCGAAACCTCTCGGAGTGTCCTTTGTTCCGAGGTGGGGAAATGGGGAATGCCTTTGGGGTGTCCTTTGGTCCGAGGGCGCAAATATCTGATTGCTGCTACTGCTCTCATTCTTTTTCCGTCAGGCTAATTGTTACGACATGTCTAGAAACCTTTAGACGAGCAATTTCACTGAATTTTCTCTAGTGCCGAGGAAGATTCCACCTAATCTCCATTTCGCAGTAGACCCACTTCAGCTTGACCATTTATCCCTTTCTGAATGGAATCTGGGGTGCTGCACGTGCTGCACCATTTCCGTATTCGATTGCCATTTTTCCAGCCAAGGCGAATGGTCAAGTCGCCGCCAGCCACCCGGTTGAGTGGTTGAGCTCCAAAGGCGGATGACGGACGACCAGTGGCCGCGCATCCCGTGGCGTCGCCGCGCGGGGGCGGACGTCCTGGACCCGTTCGCGGCTCGCTGGCCGTCACGTTGTGGGTCAACCATGAGTACAGTAACGATTCTCGCGAACGGCCCTGGAAGCCGTCGAAGGCTGTTTCTGGCCCGGTCACGGGCGCATGCGCATCCGTTGGTGCCTTGGTGGATTCGTCTCTATTGCTTCGGTAGTTCGGTCCCGATCGCATCATCTTCCTGCACGGGCACGGCACTTGGAGACCACGGCTCACCGCAACGCGGCACCGCCCCGGAAGGCCGGAAGCATCGTGCTGGACTGCTGGGCGTAGCCAAGCCAGGCCCAAGGCGCGCACGTATAAAACCCACACCAACGGAAAGCGCCACCATTCCATGCTAACAGCAACAACACAAATCATCAGTTCCGTCCGTATAGCAGGAAAAAAAGGGTTTCTTGTCCCACAGGGCAGGGAGACTGGAACAGGAGTCGATTGTGATTAGTTGATCACGGTCCAGACACCATGAGCTCTCGCATGGCCGGGGCAGCGCTTCTGCGCCACCTAGGCCCGCGCCTGTTCGCGGCCGAGCCGGCCGTGTCTGGGCTCACCGCGAGGGGCGTCATGCCCGCGGCCGCGAGGTTTCTCCCCGCGCGGATGGCCAGCACCGCCGCGGAGGCTGCCAGAGAGGATGCCGGTGCAAAACAGCCCGGCGGCACCGAGAAGGCAGCAGACGGGCAGAGCAAGAAGGCCATCGTCAGCTACTGGGGCATCGAGGCGCCCAAGCTCGTGAAGGAGGACGGCACGGAGTGGAAGTGGCCCTGCTTCCGGGTGAGTACATACTGCACATTTTGCAATCACAGGCTGTTTCATGGCGCTTGCGTTGCATGATTAGTCGCTCATGATCTCTAAACTGTGACTGACTGGACTGCTGCAGCCGTGGGACGCGTACACGTCGGACACGTCCATCGACGTGAAGAAGCACCACGCGCCGACGACGCTGCCCGACAAGGCGGCGTACCTGATCGTCAAGTCGCTGCGCGTGCCCATGGACCTCTTCTTCCAGCGCCGGCACGCCAGCCACGCGCTGCTGCTGGAGACGGTGGCGGCGGTGCCGGGCATGGTGGGCGGCATGCTCCTCCACCTGCGCTCGCTCCGCCGCTTCGAGCACAGCGGCGGCTGGGTCCGCGCGCTGCTCGAGGAGGCCGAGAACGAGCGCATGCACCTCATGACGTTCCTCGAGGTCACGCAGCCGCGCTGGTGGGAGCGCGCGCTCGTGCTCGCCACGCAGGGCGTCTTCTTCAACGCCTACTTCGTCGGCTACCTTCTCTCCCCCAAGTTCGCTCACCGCGTCGTCGGCTACCTCGAGGAGGAAGCCGTGCACTCGTACACGGAGTATCTCAAGGACCTCGAGGCCGGTATCATCGAGAACACGCCGGCGCCGGCCATCGCCATCGACTACTGGCGCCTCCCCGCCGACGCCAAACTCAAGGACGTCGTCACCGTCGTGCGCGCCGACGAGGCG